GGAGGGATTTCTGCTTAGGGGTCTGCCAAGCGAGAGAGAGGAGAGGGTGTGCTCCAGGCACAGGGCGTGGCCGCTACTGAGGAACTTCTCAGGACTCAACCCACCCTAGCACGTGTGCCAAGCCGCAACGGGGAGCGCAGTCTGTGCCGCTGGGAGTTGGGGTCCGAGGAGACAAGAGCCGACTGAGCAGGTCCCACGTGGGCAGAGTGCCCAGGCCTCACCCATTGCGGAAGACGCCTGCACTGGAGCTCTGTCCTGGGGGAGCAGGCAGCTGCCTCGATGCCAGGTTTCAGCAGAGGTGCGTGCCTGGTCCCCACAGTGGGCTGGGCAGCTCAGGACCACCTGTGTGGCATCAGTGATATCCACAAGAGCCAGAGGACCCGGGCTGCGCATGCGGGTCGACAGGTTTCTTTCTTTGAGGAGATAATAAACCGGAATGAACATCCCCCAGGGATCACAGAGTATTACAGAAGGAAGGAAGGATCTGTGGCAACAAGGACATTTGAGAGCACTCAGGGTGGGGGGCAAAGTCACCCAATTTGAATACTAAATGGACAGAGTCCGCTCCTTGTCCCAGCTGATAGAGCAGGACACACAATTACCGTAATAACGAGAGCCCACGTTCATTGAGCGTCCACTCCGTGCCGGCCACCGTAGAGCACTTTCTGAGGAGCATCACACTCCGTCCTTTTGCTGCTCCCATTAGCAGTCCCAAACGGAAGCCTGGAGAGGTGAAGTAGCTCACCAAGGTCACAGCTTGTATGTGGCCTGGCTGGGCTTTGAGCCGTCACTCTGACCCCGAGCCCACACTCCTCACCCCCAGGCTCAGCAGAGCCTCTGTTGTGGGGTTGTTGAGAGGAAGGAGTGAGCTTCCACGGCTAAAGTCCCTGACGCTCAGTAGGTGTCAGGTAGAAGGGCTGTGCGGGCAAACCTGGGTAGCAAGAGAAAGCCCTGGAATCTTCCAACATAGTGCGTTTATAAGAATTGGGAGAGGAAGGCACGGCTCCCGTGAGAGAACTCCCCAGATGGATGCTGGGCTGTTGGCTGGGAAATTTGCTTCAAAATAGCAGAGTTCTGACTTCTCTGTTTTTTAAAAACCTATTATTATTATCCTTCAAATTGAGCAGACCCCTTAGCTATGCCCCACGTGTTTATTTTGACACTTGATACATCTCCTGATTCTCTTTGCAGCTTTATGGAGAGCATCCGACTTAAGAGCTGGAGCCGGAGAAAAATACTCCCTCCGAGGACTTGTGGTCTTGCCCTTCTCTGGGAAGACTGCCCCCAGGCTGTGGCTGGCCCTCCACGTTTTCCACCCTCTCCCCAGTTTGAAATTTAGCTTTGGTTCCTCGTTGCCTTCTCGTAACAGAGATATTTTGTTGTGTCTTCAACATGGCTGCCATTAGCTCTCTTTTGATAAGATGGCACCTCCATTCCTCTTGGGAAGCCATCTCTCCCCAGCTCTCAGCCCTGAGAGCAATCAGGCTCTTCCATCCTCCTGGCCACAGTGATTCGTTAAGGGTTGGCCAAGAAATGCCCTACAGCCAGTGAGACTAGAGGAGTTGATTGCTAGGGCTTCTGGGAAAGAGACACCCTTCCTCTTGAAGGGGGTAAGATCTAGAATCACACTGGTCATTTTTCTTCCCTAAGAGGACAGACTGAAGCTTCAGGATCAAGCCAACACCATGGAGGCAGAGCAGGAGACAAATGTCTTTGGTAACATCATTTAAGCTCCTGGATCAAGCTGAACCTGAAGCTAGAATACCTCTGGACTTTTCAGATCTATGAGTAAATAAAACTTATTTTGTGTTCAAGGCAGTTTGGTTTGGGTTTTCTGTCCCCAGCAATCAAAACAGTCTCAGTGATGCATTTGCCTCCAGAATTCTCCTGAGGGCTGCCAAGGGAGTGGAAGGAGTGTCCACCTGTTCTTTGGAGGCTCAATTTGAAAGTGGGGCCCAATGTGTTGGCAAAGCGCAGGTGAAGAGGGGCTCTCCTACACTGCACGTAGGAGGGTAAATGAGCACAGACTTTGGCAGGGCCGTCTGAATACTCTGTATGTGTTCATCTGGGTCCCTGAGAAGCAGGTGCCAAGATGAATTAAGTGTGCAAGGATTTTATTAGAGGAAATGTCTGTGGGAAAGAAAATGGGGAGGGGGTCCAGGGAAGGCTGGTGGAGGCGGCAGTCTGTGACGCAAGTCCAACCCCCAGTGAAGGAGAGAGGGCGGAGGGTCCTAGAGTGCCCGCAGTCCAGGGCAGGTTCAGCAAGGCCATTGGGACGCCCCTGGGCCAAAAAGTCCACCAGCCAGGGACTCCTGCGTCTCCCAGGAACAGGGCTGCCTCCAGACCCTGCCCCACCCAGTCATCGCCTGGGAGCAGCCTATGGGATGTAAGGCCTCCGAGCAAACTCAGAGAAGGATTCCAACCACAAAAACCCGCAGTCAATTACGTCCCTGGTGGGAGCAGGTCCTCGAGGTGCATTCTTGTGGCCATCACAGTCTACATGCCCGGAATCCACTCTTAGAAGGTCAGTAGTAGTTAACTCTGCCTGGTGGGATTATGGGAGACACACACACACTTTTCTCTCTCTCTGTTTTTGTAGTCCACATGCGTATGTTTATAATGAAAAGAAACTCCACTTTTAAAATGTGCATACCCTGTGAACTAGCAATTTCCCTTCTAGGAATATAATCCCAAGAAAATAACTGTGCACAGAGATGCTCATCACTGTGTTATTTGTAAGAGTGAAAAATTAGATGCAATCTAAAAGACTAACAGTAGAAGAATGGTTAAATACGTTTGATCCATCTGCACAGTGGGCTCCTACGCTTCATTTGCGACAATTGTATGGGTGGTATGTATTTATTGTCATGAGCACCAGCCTGCTTATCTGTCTGTCTATGTATCTCTCCATCCACCCATCTATCTGTCCTCTACATCTCTCTAAAAAAATCTCTGTTTTGTCTCCATCCACTCCTCCATGCATGCATCCATCCATTCACCTACGCATCGAAGCATCCATGCAGCCATGTGCTCATCATTTATCACTGATCTATCAGCTATCATCTATTCTCATTCTCTCTCTCTCTCAGATTATTCCCAGGTTTGTTGCCTGGCTGCCCCGCCCACAGCATCTCAGCAGCAATGATCTAGAAAAGATGGGAGATTCTGTGGGCTGTCGGAGACTGGCACAGTGACACCCAGATATGATGACAGGAGACAAAAATACCAGAGGTGGATGCAGCCCACGTGACCCTGAATCGTCACGAAAAGACTAATCCTCTTGCAAATCATCTGTTGAAGGAAGCGGGGAAATGTATAACGCCGTTTAGAAAGACTGCCATCCAAAGTGGAAAAAATAGAGAGAGTTGTGATGCTTGAAGAACGAGTTTTCGTTTTCTGGGAAAATCACCTATGCAGAACTCCTCATTTCCCAAAGCTGTCTGATAAATCACAGTCAGAGCTGGAAGGGACTGTATCTCCATTTTACAAAGGAGAAAACTGAGACTCAGAGACGCTAAGCCACTTCCATGAGGTCACACAGTAAAAATGGCAGTGGTGGGATTTGAAACCATGTCTTTTTGATTCCAGATGTGGTGACATGGAGCTGCACTGCCCACTTCAGGGAAGAGGACAGAGGGCTTCCAGCTGTCGGCTCCTTCAAGGTCAGCCTCAGCTGCAGAGAGCTGCCTTAACTGAGGTCACATCCTTTCCAGGGAAGCCCACAGCAGTGACCGAGTGAAGCACGGGTCTCGAGCCTGGCCATCTCGGCCCTGTGTGGTCCACTCTGCCGGCCACTATGTGCTGAGGATCTGCCTGCCAGGTTGGCTGCTAATTCATCAGGCCGAGTCTCAGTTCCAGCCCTTCCTCTGCCTTCCCTGCACAGGTGTGATCCCTAATACACATCTTCTACTCCACCTCTGTCTCAGCAACTGCTTCCGGAGAGCCTAATGTAGACCCACCAACACCGGGAGCGGTCTGAGAAAGCAGGCGACAAGATGGGGCTCAGGTGCCAGATCGCGTCCCCCTAGGCTGGCCATCAGTGGTGGAGGGTGGCGCACAGATGGCCCCTGGCACAGGGTGGTGTCCGACTGTTCACAGCTTCATGGGGTGAAGGGGGAAGGTGACCGGAAAGGGAACGCACCAGTCCCCATGAGCATAATGGGGAGATTGGATGGCTACTGCCACATGGCTCTGATGCTCTACAGAAAGATAATAGACTGCGGAGGACAAGTGACCAGCACCTGCTCCAGGACTGAAAGCCAAAGGGCCTCTTTGGTTGCAGACAGGGAAGTTCTCATCTCTTGTGGCGGGAGGGCAGACCCAGCCTGGGACTCGGTGATGGAACTTCAGAGGCGGTTCAGCTCCCAACCAAGGCAGCGTGTTAGGCGACGGTCAGGGCCCTGGATGGGACCCTGACACATGGGACGAGGTCGTCTGAGTGGCGCCCCCAAAGGTGTTTCCACATTTTGGGTTACCATGAATCATGCTGCTATGACCACCACGTTTGAATACCTGTTTTCAATTCTCTCGGATATACACCTAGGAACGAAACTGCTAGGTCATATGGTTATTCTGTGTTTAACCTTTTCAGAAAGCACCAAACCGTTTTCCAGGATGGCGTCACCATTTTACACTCCCATCAGCAATGTATGAGTTTGGTGATATTTTTGTTTTCCTTCGGGAGCCAGCCTCCCCTGGGGCCCGTGTGGTTCAGATGACATTGACTCCCGCCGCCCTCTGCCCCAGTGATGACATCCCAGCAGGGTCTGGCCCGCCAGCACACGCCAAGGTGATTGCTTAGGAACGGGCACGTGCCTGAGCCAGGCCACCGAGACTCAACTCTGAACGTGGAACAACCCCTGGACTTTCCTCACTCGGACCAATAAATCCACCACCCCTTTTTATTTCTTAATCCAGTTCGAGTTGGGTGTCCTGTCCCTTGTGACCAACTGACCACTCTGTCATTAAGATTTGCTGGTTTAAAATCTCTGTCTGCGCGATTCCTCTCCTTTGTGTGTTTTACGTTTATTGTGTCAACGTGATGGTACAGCTACCAGAGGACGCTGGAGTGGGGCTCGCTCCCAGGAGGCAAGACCGGATCAGAGAATGGTCAGCGAGGCGATCTTGCAGACAAACGGGAACTTCCGGCCGCAGGAGTTATCGTTCCATGACCGCGGAGCTGCGGTGGGAAAAAGCAGAGAGTCTGGGTGAAGGCCCACTCCCCACAGTAGAAGTAGCCCCGCCACCCCGCTGGAGTGAAAGCTCTCTCCAGCAGGCCTCGTGTCTACACTGGCAACCCTTTCTTGCTGATGCTTGAGGAGGCTGCTGTCCAGCCTTCCTCTCTCCTAAGGCTGGTCTGGACTTGCCACCGTGGAGGGGCAGGACAAACCTCACCCAGCGGCTTGGCCCAGCTCTGGCTACCGGGCTCCGGGATGGCTCCCAGGACAGCAAGTTGCTGTTCCATACCTCCCTCCCCTAATCAGGAAAAGAAAAAGGAGCAAAGAGGGAACAGCAGTTGAGTGACCGGATCTAGAGTTCCATAGATCTAGGTTTGAAACCCAGCTCCACTACTTGCTTGCTGTGTAACCTCGACCAAATCACTTAACTTCTCTGAGCCTCAGTTTCCTCATCTGCAAAATGGCAATATTAATAGGTTTTACTTTTCCAAATTGGTGTGAGCAATGTCGATGTCGTTAACAATGATAGTGGTGATGGCTAACACCACGCACAAACCACTGCAGCCACATTACCCTCTTTTCCCTTCACAGCATCCTTATGAGTTAAGGTCCCTTAGCCCCATTTTGCAGATGAAGAATCTGAGGCACCAAGAGGTTAAGGCATTTACTCCCGGCTATGCAATTAATAAGGGGTGGCGCTGGGTTTCAGAAAAGGGCATCCAGCTCCAGGGTCCATGTTCTCATCACCGTGTCTATCAACTGTACCTCCTTTAATCCTCAGATCAGCCCTGTGGGTGGAAGCTATTATTAACTCCATTTTACGGGAGAGGAAACGGAATCTCAGAGAGAAGAAGTAATTTCCTGCAAGGCCACAGAGCTAGAAAGCAACAGGGCCGGGCACGGAGCCCAGGTCTTCTCACTGCTGACACCAGGGGGCTTCCTCAAGCTTATCTTGGTTCTAGTACTCAGGAGCTGAGCCACCTTTAGTGCGCTGGTGGGCTGACACAGAAGGACCATCCTTTGACTGCTCTCTATACAAATCTTTTTTTCCCCCACGCTTCCATCTCTAACATCTTTTCATCCAAATCATAGTCTGCATGTCAACAACGCACCGTTCACTACTGTTTAAAACGCATCCACCATGGAGAACGGCCCCGCCCCTAATGCCCCCAGTGACCTCCGGTCGCTTTCCAAGGTGCTGAATAATCCCCCCCGTCTCCCGCATCCGTGGGGCCTCCCCAGCCGCCCTGCAAGAGCCCTGGGCTCAGGGGCACCCACCGCTGGTGGGCCGGTACCATATCTGCACGCAGTCCTCCTCTTCTGGCTCTGCGTAGACGCCGTCATCCGGCTGGCTCCCATCCCAGTAGCTGTAGTCATGGGACGAGCCGTCGGTCCATTCAAACTGCCCTTCCTGGAGCGGGGGGTCCATCCCGAGGCAAGGAAGCAAACCGAGGAGAGAAAGAGTGGGCACCTGAGCCAGCTCCGGCCCCGGGATCACATTCTAACACCTCCGTGTCCCACAGGGCGGAAGTCCTCACTTTTAATCTGACATCCTGCTGTTAGTACTCCCTTCACGAGCTGTATCAGTGGAAGGCTTGTTAGTGCCCTGACAGGTGCCTCACTCATATTATCCTCACCTTCCTGCACAGCCGGCATCATCACGGCTCTTTTACAGATGAGAAAACAGACTCAGAGCTGTCTACCCAAACTCACATAGCGAATAAGGCATTAGTGCCGGGATTTGAACCCAGGTCTCTCCAACTCCAGTACCCAAGACCCTGACTACTCCACTTTCTGTTTTTAAATTTACCAGTGGATGGGAGGAACCCTCCATCTCTCTTCTCTTTGTCCAAATCGTATGTATTTTTCTCGCCCAATGTGGAACTACTCTAATTGCAGGAAGAGTCCTGTTGGGAATTTGATTGGTTTTGCAATAAACGTGCAAATTAACTGGGGGAAAGAACCACATCTCTGCCACGTCCTGGAACAAAAATCATTTCTCCGTTTATTCAAGGTTCTAGAAAAGTCTTCCCAAAGCACCGATGATGATGGAGGCCACGTCATAAGTTGGAAATGGCATGTTACTTCTGAGAGAGAGTTTGAGATTCCAGTTCCACCCACTTCCTGGCTCTGCAATCTGGGCAAGTGACTTAACCTCTCTGAGCCTCAGTTTCCATATCTATAAAATGGAGCTCACGTGTCCCTCAGAGGGTTATTGTGAGGATTGAACAAATTAAAGCACAAAGAGGGACTGAGCTCGTAGAAGGTGCCTGGTCCGGAAGAGAAAAAAACAAGCCCTTTTCTTGTACTGTATTGTTTATTCTTACTATTCTTAGGTCTTGTAATACGAGTTCCTTAACTTCTAATTAAGTGTATTCATAACCCAACTTTTACGTTGCTGTTATAAATGGACATTTTTGGGTTTTTTTTCATTGCGACTTCTGTATGGGTTCTTCCCAGATGAAGTCTACTGATTTAAAAAATACATCTGTGCTGCGTCTGGCCACTACTGTTATTTCCGCTACATTGACGGCAGCTTCCATCACCCTTCACGAGCGCTTACAGCGCGCTGGACACGAGACGAAGCCCTTTAGATGCATTAGCCCATTTACTTTTTACCGTGAGGCACTATTATTATCATCACCCCCATTTTACAGCTGAGGAAACTGATGCTCAGAGAGGAAAAAAAAATCCCCCGAAGTCGCCTACCAGCCAGTAAGTGGCAGACCAGGCACAGGAACTGGAACTGGAACCCTCTTCCCTGTAGTGCTCTGAGTAGAGCGAGAGGCACACATGCAAAATAGAGACTCAGCGTTCAGCTTACCCCGGGAAAGTCTGGGGACCAAATGTGCAGGTGGGGCTGCTGTGACAATGCCAGCATGAGACCTGGCCCAACCCACCCTCTTCAGCCTTATTCTCCACCATTTTCCACCCACCCTGCCACACTCTGCATCCCAGACACATTGGTTTTTAGTGTCCTTGAATGTGCCATGGTGTTTCCCACCTCAGGACCTTTGCTCGTGCTGTTCCCTCTACCTGGAATGGTCTTCCTCTGGCTGACTCCTATTTATCCATTAGACACCAGCTTAAATGTCTCTCACCCAGGGAGTCGAGGCAGCCATGGGAGTGCGCTGCTCCGAGCTCCTTCAGGAGGACCAGCTGAAGGGACCATAGTTGGCTGACAGCCTCAGATCCTGGCGTCTTTGGTTCCCCACCTCATTTGTAGCGAGAACATGCTCCTGCCCCATTGGATCCACCACCATGTTCCCGGTGAGACATTTCTTCCTCCATCCAGGCTATGGCCAGCCGGTGACTTAGCATGTCAGGGGTCCTAGTGGTGGTCCATTCCTGACCAGTGGGCATCCTTTCCTGAATGACCCCATTCGGCTAATGAGCATCCTTTGCCTGGTGGCTCCCCACTGGCCTCGCCTAGACTTTCTCAGAACCGTGCTGTGATCGGAGGCTCTCCCCACCCCGTCCTCCGCCCCCCGCTCCTTTCACAGGTCTCAGACCCACACCGTTGTCTGAAGGCCTGCCCTGCCTCCTTACGCCCCCTCCTCTTTTTTCCTTCACAGATGTTTCCCCTCAAAACCCCCTTGCACATCTAATCACGTTTTTGTGCCTGCTTTTTGGGGAACCCAAACCCCAGCAGAGGCCTTCCCTGACCACACTCTACGCTCCCATCATATCCTCTTTCACAACATGGACCTTATTCTAACTGGAACATCCTGATGTCTGATTTCTCTCTGCGTGCTGAGCACACAGCAGTGACCTGGCACACAGGTCCCCACGTGAAAGGTTGGCTAAATCAAAATGGGATCTTGGTTGGAGCTTCCGAGAGGCCTAACAGCCATTCTTCCTCACCCGCCTGTGATCGTGGAGCCCTATCCAGATGTCGGCTGGGATGCCAGGCACACAGCTGTTCACGAGGTCGTACACAAAGACATTCTCCTCCCAGCTACGAAGGCAAGAAACAGTAGCACGTTACTCGTTGCCTCTTTTCATAGGATAGAGTTGAAAACTGCAAACAATCTTCATTAGCCCTCCTGGACAAAAGTAAACAGAAGACGTGATCCAATCCTGCTTTTCCCTTCTTTCTCTTTTTTATTTAGGTCACCCAGATGTGGCGGTCCTCCCACGGCCACCCCTGGATTCGATTGACACCAGCTCAGAGCAGGTCTCAGCACTGCTGCTCACCCTAAAAATTTAAATCCACCTCAAAAACACTAGCCGACAAGGCGGATGCTGTTGAAGATATCACGGAGAGACAAAGAAAGGAGTTTACACCGCATCGCGCACATCCAATAACAATGAAAATCTCCACGCAACATTTCTGTTCTCTCTCAAACCCTCCTTACATATCTTCTTCTCTCCTAGTCTCTTCTCACATCCTATTTCCAAAATCTTTTGTTTTTTTTCTGGAAAATTCAGCTCTAAGCCTGAACTTGCATCGCCCACTCAGCCAAACCAAAGCCCCTGTAGTTGAGTCCACTTTCCTTAGAAGGTCTTAGTCTGTTCAGGCTGCCGTCACACACCACAGCCTGGGTGGCTCATAAGGAACCGAAATCTATTCCTCACAGTTATGGAGGCTGGAAGTCCAAGATCAACGTGCCAGCAGGGTCAGGTGAGGGCCCACTTTCAGCTCATAGACTTCTCGTTGCATCCTCACAAGGCGGAAGCGGGCTGGGGAGCTCTGTGGGGCCTCTTTCATAAGCACACTCATCCCATTTATGGGGGCCCCATTCAAACCACGGCAGGAGACATCGGCGTCTTCTGGGGGGATTCTCACCTCCTTTTTCAAAGAGCTTATAAAATAATTCATCCAACAAAAAAAATCAGTGGAGGACCCTGGAGGCAGTCTGTTGCCCAACACAACAAAGAAATAGAGATGGATGGATGGACGGAGAGACAGACAGAGATTTTCACCAGGCCATTAAAATGTTTCCTGAGCTCTGATTTCATGCCAGGTACCGTGCTGAGCATGAAGTCATGTCATCCTCACATCAGACAGGCACCGGGGCAGACGCAACTGGTTTTCTACCCTACAGCCCTTTGCCTGTTGCGTATGTTAGAATTTAGGAAAGCCAGATTTCAGTTTCCCAGCCTCCTTTGGAGCTAACACTGGTCAGAAGACCCAGTTCAGCCAGTTAGACAGAAGGGGAAGTTTGCAGGGGGCATGGTGGAAATGTTCCCCTCCCTAATAACAGGACAGAGCTGTGAGGGCAAGACCCAGTGTCTTCCACTGTCTTTCCTCCTCGGGTTGTAGTTGCGTGAGGATGTGAAACTGGGAGCTGCTGCTTGGGAGACCCCAGAGGAAGACAATGGCTCACCCGGTGCCCTGGTATCAGCGAGCCTGGAAAATGTCATTTGCAGAGGCTGGAAGGGTGGGCGAAGGATGCGAGAGCAAAAGGACAAATGACAGGCACGCTTCACTCATGCAGTTCACAAACCCAGAGGGATAACCCCACTGGAAAGAGATTCCCATTTGTGGCTTCCACTTGGCACTAAGAAACGAACTTTAGTGTGTTGAAGATGTCGTTATAAAGTAATAACAATCAGCCTGAGACCTAATACTGAACCAATAATTCACTCCAAAACAGGACTATGCTGAGGTACCATGTATGTTGCAACAAAGAGTATCTGCTCCCATTGGCTTCTTCTAAATGGCCACTTTCTAAAGGCCGCCACGCCATCTAAAATGCCCACCCTTAGATACCTTTTGGCTTGAGGCATTGGGAGCAAATCAAAGCACACATATTTACTCTCCTTAATTTTGTGTTTGTGGAAGACATGACTAATCCATTCCAGAAGCACTCAGAATTCCGGCACTCAGAATCCTTCTCAACACAGTGCTCCAGGCACTCACATGCAGAGTTGCTAAACTACGATGGACTGAACGTTTGTGCCCTCCAAAATTCATATGTTGAAATCCTAACCCCCAACGTGAGGGTATTAGGAGGCGGGGCCTCTGGGAGGTGATTTGTTTGTGAAGGTACAGCCCTCATGAATGAGATCAGCGCCATGATAAAAGAAATAGCAGAGAGCTGGCTCACCTTGTCCGCCATGGGAGGCTGCAGCATGAAGATGGCCATCTGCAAAGAAGGGAGTGGCCCTCCCCAAGAACTGAACCACACCGGAGCCCTAATCTTGGACTTCCAGCCTCCAGGACTGTGAGAAATAAGTTTCTGTCGTTGATCAGCCACCCAGTCTATGGTATTTTTGTTACAGCAGCCTGAACAGACTAAGACAGATGTTATTGGAGGAAACGGAAAGGAAAGGGGGCAGACGAGGCAAGGCTTGCTTGCCCTCAGAAAGATAACCTGACATGGGAACACTAAGTACGAACTGACCTCCTTGAGATGACTAGAATTATACTTAACAAAAATAGTCACAGCTGCGACTGTTGGGCACTGAATTAGCCAAGCGCTGTGTGAGAACTTGGATGCATTAGCGCTTCGAAAGCCCCACAGCGTTAAGAGGTCAGTGTGATTACTGCTGTTCCCTAGTTGAGGACTCTTTGGCTCGGAGAGTTTCCGTGACTTGGTCAAGATGGTGCAGGTAGGAAGCGGTGCAGCTGGGACCACTCTAGGACTGCCTGACTCTAATGCCCTTCACTGATGCACATAAGGTCTCCGGTGGGGTCCTTCATTCAGAACATCTTCCGCTCCCATTCCCTGAGCTTCCTGATCCTTCAAGAGCCTGATCCAAGACCAGTTCTTCTAGGAAGGCTTTCATGAGCACCCTCTCTCCAGTCCTTGACCACCCGCAACACAAAGTTTCTGTCCTCCAAGGGCTGGGCTGGTTGGTTCTGTTCTCTGTTCCTTGACGTCTGGTCTCCCCAAAATGGGCTGCCAGGACCACACAGATGGACATCATGTTTCATTTCTCTTTGACATCTTCTCCCAAATCCTCACCAGGCTCTACTCAATGGTCATGTTCCGAGTGTGTGTTCCGTCTAACATGAGCATGGTATGATTTCTGGGGACAAAGTGTGTTTCAGTCCAACAGGTCTTTGAGCTTGGACCTACTCTGCTGAGTAAGCACTGCCACCCCAAAATGCCCCTCTCGTGCACAACTGGGGGTCTCCTACACCACCTGCTGAACGTGCATTTGGGGCAGTCATGTGGGAGAGTGGCCGCCCAGTCATTCTAGCACTGTCGCCATCTTGGTTCAACGGCATCTGCTTGGGAAACTTTCAATATTTTATTGCATGTTCCCCACATCTAGTCAAAATAACCGGAAAATAGAAAGGCCCACGGCACTACTGCAAGTAATAAGGAGCACAGATCAAATGAACTTAATTCAATTCAGCTGTCTCTCGAAACAAAGATGGGAATTATTCAGCAAGCTGAAAGTATGACAATCTTAAACTTCAATCAGATGCTCCATGGCCATGAGCTGACTGAGTGCTTAATTATGAAGGGAAAGAACAAAATTAAAAATCATGAAGAAATATAAAATTGGATCGTGTCTCAAAGACAAGATATAATTAGGGGTTTTGTAATACTGTCTAGCTTTATAGGAACCGAACCTCATTTACCACAGGGGAATGTGTTGTTCAAATTCAACTTTTCAACATGTTTTCAGGAAAGTATTATATCCAAAGTGGAGAGCTACCTATCTAAGAGAGGGAAGCGGGAGGTTATTGTGAGCGAGGTAAAGAGGGATGTCAGGAGTTGAGAAGAGAGGAAGAAGGCAAATCGAGGCAAAAAAGGACAAGAATAGGGTCAAGGGTTGCCGGAAACCCCCTGAATTTCCCTCAAATCCTTTCTGATGGCCAGTTAACCAAGGTTTAGCTTACAGGCACCGGGAGGCAGGCTGAACTAGCTAACGGAAAATCCTCATTTGGAATCACTTCTAAATTTACTCTTTGTTACACATATCGCATTTCCCTCTCTAGGCTGGGAATGGTTGGGAACTTCTTTTATCCATCTTTGTAAGTGCTATCCTGCGCTGTGCTGTGCTCTGTATCACAGTGCATTTGACCCCCGAAAACCAGCTTTCCCCGTCGTGTCAGCCGCCCTCCAAGTAACGGGAGGCACTGATGGAGGGTGGGAGGGAGAGAGCAGCCAGGGGGTTTCTGTGCTTCTCTGCCTTGGGAGTCGCTGGCAGGGGCTGTCTTGCCTCAGTGGCTCCAGCCCCCATAGGACTGGCCTGCCCTCCAGAGAGGGGTAGAATCGGCTTCCTGCTTGCGAATCTATAGATGGCCTCACTACCGCCTCTTAAAGTTCTTAGCTTCCATCACTTGTGTATGCATTAAAGCCTCTCTGTTTTAAATATTTGTAGCGGTTCCTGTTTTCCCGGTTGGACCCTGACTGCCTCACTCTATTCTTCAGCACCACCGAGAACACAGTGGGTGCTCAATGTGTCTCTTGGATGAATAGATGGGAAGATTCATGACTCCTTTGGCAACGAAGATAGAGGATCTCTTCTCTGTTCTTAACAAAATTCAGTGACTCCAAAGCATAGGAACCAACTGTCTTTCTAACTTCAAGCCTCTGAGGTTCCTGAAGAACAGAGGCAAGATTGGGAATTTGTAGTTTGGGTGCCAATGGAACACAGCACCCCTGGCTTCAAGGAACCCACAAATCAGCAAGGACGTCAGGCGTGAAAACAGGTCATTAAACTGTGATGAAGGACGTGCTCTAAGAGAGGCGGGTGAGGAGAGCAATGAGGGTGCCGGGAAGTCAGGGGTGACTTCGGTGAAGAGATGTTGTCAGAGCTGAGTCTTGAAGGCTGAGGAGGTGTCTACCTGGAAGAGAAGATAGGGATGGGAATTCCCAGCAGAGGGAACAGAATGTGTAAAGGTATCGAGGAGGAAAAGAGCTGAACCAGACTGGAGAACTTTGAGGTGGTCAGCGTGGCGGGGGCTTAGGAGACACGGGGGAATGGTGAAGGCAGCCTTGATGGACGGGCTATGGCCTTTGACTGCTCAGGTTCAAATCCCAGCTCCATCACTTTATAGCTGTGCAACTTTGAGCCAGTTACTTACCTTCTCGGAGCCTCAGGTTCCCTGTTTGTAAAATGAAGATTCCTGCCTAATACGGTTTGAGGGAGTTTAATATGATGATGTACACAAACGCTTAGCAAATAAATGTCCGTTATTATTCCTTATATTATATTCTTTTATGTGTACTATGAGAGCAGATAAAGATGGATCTTCCAGTGTGCTATTTGCTACCCCCACTAAATGCTTTCCCTTCTGCTGTAAAGGGCAACTTCAATGAGAAAGTGCGCTGGATAAAAGCTAGCACCAATTACCAAAGAGAAACGCCAGTGGGAGATGCCGTTCTCCACTCCGCCTTCCAAGGGGGTGCTTGGTTGGGCTGTGGACGGACGAGCAGTCCACTCACCTGTGGATGGACGCCAGCTTGGCGGACTTCCTGCCGATGGAGAACTCAGAACAGTGGAAGTCAGCCTCGGCCCAGGTCTTATTGAGAGGGAAAAATCTATAGCAGTGGCCTTGGAACTCCATCCAGAAGAGTGGGCACAGGGAAGCCCGGGGCAGCTCTGGCACGGCTGGGGACAGAGAGAAAACAGACTGAAAGGAAGGCTGGCAGTGCGAACACTGTCTCTGTAGCTTATGACACCTTTTCCAGAACGAAAATAAAAATGTCCCATTATGATTGACGCACTTCTATGCCTGAGGTCCCAAAAAACACAGGCTCACCTAAAATTTACAAAATAATAAAAGTAATACACGCTCATTCTAGAACACTTGGAAAATGTTAATCCTTTGGTGCCTTGTTTTGGTCATGCTTGAATACAGTGATTTGTTAAAAACGCAATGGTTATTATATTGTACACTACACACCTGTCAGTATTCTGAGTCCTAGAAATTAGAATATAAGCATTTCCCCCCACGTCGTTATAAATTTTTGTGAACATTGTTTTAAACAGCTCTTGAATACTCCACTGAGCAGCACCCCCCCCCAGAGTTTATTTAATCATCCCCCATTTATGGATAATTAGATTGTTTCCCTTTTTAAAAAACAATTACACACAATTATGCACCATGAACAGCCTTGTGCATAAAGCTTTTCAGCATTTCTGATGATTTTCTGAGGAGAGGTTTATAAGATTTTGACACAATTTGCTCAGTTGCCTCCTGAAAGTGATGCACACTCACACGGTGATGTCCGAGAGGGCCTAGCTCACAGCGCCCCCGCCAGCGCTGAGCGTTACCACTTTAACGGCAATCTGCAAATTTTATAAGCAAAAAACAGCCTCTTGTTGCAATTTGCTGGTCTGGGCTCTCTGGCAAGGGAGGTCATTTTTCCATGTGTTTATTGACAAACTACAGCCAAGACGATTAATATCTTGAGCCCATCAAACTACTGGGGTCCAGGATTTGTTAATTCTGAAAAGGCACAAAGGAAAAAGCCCGTGTTTGAGCCAATAAACTTCTCCCAGCCTCAGCCCCTCTGAAGGCCTCTTGTGGGTGCTTTTTCTGGAAACCACAACCCAAGATGACTGGTGGAGGAGGAAGGCGTGCTGAGCACCCACCTTCAGCTGGGTTGGGTGGCTCACCCATGAAGGAGGCAGTGGGCAGTGGTGAAATTTATTTAGACAGCGATCAGAAAGGCTGGGTCCCAGCTGACAGCTCTGCACCTGACATGCTGTGTGACGATAGCACATTGCTTCCCTTCTCGGCTGTCAAACTGGCTGAGCTGGGGGGTCCCTTTTGCAGCCACCCAAGGGTGTGGCCTCTTTGCCCTTCAAGCCACTGTAATAGCTGGCTGAGCTCTTGGATAACAACATAGTGGACAACAGTTACTGAGCACTGATGATGCGCCAAGCACACACAGGTTAAGTGACTTGCCCAAGGTCATCCTGCTAGTAAGTGGCAGAGCAGGAATTTGAACTTAGGCCTCCAGACACCAAAGTCTTTGATCTCAAAGTCCTCTTGGTGCCTCATCATGGGAGATCAACAGGGCTGAGAATGGTTAATAGTCCTTAGCACCTACTTCATGAGGTTGCTGGCCGACTGATTGGGCCAAATAAATTCACAGAGCACGTGGCATATATGGATTGCTTTGTAATCGTACGATTATTAACGATTAGCTCAGGGTTTTATAAATGGGGTTGACGGGCTTCAGGGGTCCAGCGAAACCCCTGAAATTAAATGCAGAATTGAAAGTGTGTGTGTGTGCACGCACGTGTGTGCATGCACCTCTGTGCATTTTTCTGGGGAAAGAAAGGGAGAGTTCCTTTAATCAAGAGACTTATGCTAAGCAGGCAGTTCCAGGCCACACTTCCCATCACTGATCAGAGCCATTGGGCATTCCCATTTCATCAGGACCAGGCCTTCCCCATGCCAGGCAGCTGAGCAGGTCAGTCCTGGCTCCTCCCACCCGTCGTGGGCAGTCCCGGCCAGCTGTCTTTCAACGTGCGCTGCTATCCGAAGTGATGCAGAATTTGCTCTCTTAACCCCTCTCTACATGGCAAAGGGAGAGAGCTCTGCTTGCAGAGTTAGGAGGGCTCAGGACCCCTGGCCTGTCCCTGACCCCCTCCGGAGCTCGGTGTCTACCCTTCTCAGTTGAGATCATTGGTCTAGGAGGACAATACCTCCACGCGGAGAGGGCTGACGGACCCCTTGTAACTCAGAGTGTGGCTGAGCTCTTTGTGGGGACTTTTCAGCACTGCCTCCTACACAGACAGAGTCACCTGAACCTCTTCCTGGGGTCTACTTTTGGAGCACTTCCCCCTTTGCATGGACGAGAAGCGGCGAATCATTTCCATCTCCTTTCCACCTATCATTTGTAACCAGGGACGCTCATCGCTGAGAACTTGGCCATGCTTGTCCCGGAGTTGGCCAGAATAATGGGCCAGGAGGATGGTATTTTCTGGTGCTAAACCACTTTCCCCACTCCCACCCATCCTAAAATTACGTGGCATCCTAAATATTCATATTAGAGATGAAAGTAGGGGGGCCCAACCATCCCGGTTTGTCCGGGATTGTCCCAGTTTTAAAATGGAAAGTGCTACATCCCAGACCTCCTCCACTTGGTCACCCTGGAGCAGTGGTTCTCAATCAAGGGCGATTCTGACCCTCAGGGGATAGTGGACAATGCCTGAAGACATTTTTGGTGGTCACAAATGGGGATGGTAGTGCTATTGGGATCCAATGGGTAGAGGCCAGCGATGCTGGTAACCATCCTACAATGAACGGGACAGCCCCCCACAACCAAGAGCTTTCCAACCCCAAATGTCAACAGAGAGCCTGCCTGAGACGGAAGGCAGAACTCCACAAATGTGAAATAACCCCAGAGGTCAGCAACACGAAACATCGCAGCCAATATCCACATTTCTCAGCTTATCCGTATTTTCTTTAACAAAAATTAAGCCACAGGCTACACAACTGATTAGAAGTCAAGTTTGGGTTATTTCTCTAATTTGAGACTTAAAATGTATTACTCTCATAAACCCAACGCTGAAAGCACTGGCAATGTTGCTAGAACATTGTGTTTAAATTTAATGGTGCAGACCTCACCAAAAAATGCTGCAGAAAGGACGTCTTGCCTTTTCCTCCCCGAGTTCAGGATGAAGCAGACAAACTCTTTGCTCTCTCTCTTCCCCCTGGTGTACCTTTCCCGTAAGCAGAGCTCTTCACGGGTCTCTGCTCCATGAGAGGGTCGCTGTCTCAACTCCTCGCTTCAGATGGCTCTGCCATCATCTCCCTCCCGTGTGGATGCGACACCCAAGCCTCTGCAGGAGGGAGGCTGATCCCCCCCCAGGGCCCCCCAGAGACGTGCGCCCTGCTTTGATTCTCATCCTGGTTTCTGGCTCCTGGGCACCCCCCTCATTTTCTGGAAGCACAGCTTAATTTTTCAAGGGATGTTTGCAAACGTTTACCCGGCATTTCCGCACGTCTATAGAGGAGAGGTTTGTGTTCTCGAATTTACTGTCTTGTCTGATCTGGAAGTCTCCACTCTTTTTGTCTTCTATCTCTTTTCCTTTTCTTCCACTTTTTTCCTCAAAAAATTAACTTTTTTATTTTGGAATAAATTTAGATTTACAGAAAAATTGCAAAAATAGTATAGAGAGTTCCCGTAGCTGCTTCATTCCATTTCCCCTAATGTTAACATCAACATTCCCGTGGTCCATTTGTCAAAATTAGGAAGTTAAGATGGGCATAATACTATTCACCAAAATAGAAGCTTTACTCGCATTTCACCAGTTTTTTCTTTTTCTGTTCCCAGATCCAGCCCACAGTATCCCATTACATTTACTCCATCTATGTGTTTTATTTGACATCAAATACTATAGCATAGCTCTCTTGATTGAGCCACTGTCCCTTTCTTTCCCCAGAAAAATGCACAGAGGTGCGTGCACACACACACATATACACACGCATACACACACACATACACACACACTCGTGATTAGACAGAATTGGCTGGAATTGGCCAGAATTGTCTAGCATTGTTGGATACTTACCAAAAATCATCTTTACTTCCTCTCTTTTTCCTGCTCCTCGAATCCAATCAATTTTCGTGACTTGTCTGTTTCATCTCCTAGCATCTTTCTAATTCGTTTCTTTCGTTCCTTTTTTCCCTTCCACATTCTCAGCTGCCACTTAGCTGTTCTTTCTGCCTTATCTCGCCTTCCAAACCCAGAGGGATCCTTCCAACAACCTGATCTCATCTCACTGGCGCCCTCCCGAGTCCCCACCGCCCTTGTGAACTGGGCGCCTGGCTCCTCCGAAGCTTATCTCCCGTCACTCACAATATGCTCCAGATTCGTTCAAACTCTTGTCATTTCTCAAATGCCAGTTCAGGTCCTTGCAGATATTTCCCTCGGCTTGCCTCCGGCCAATTCTTGTTTCTTCTTTGAGTCTCAGCTGCATGATGACTTCTTCCGTGGAGACGAGGCAGGAGCCCCTGCTAACGGCTCCTAGAGGCCCCGACACCCCACCTTTCACACGCCCGAGTGAAGTCTTGTTGGGGGCTGGTCTAACTCTGTCTCGGTCAATGTCTGGCACATGGCAGGTGTGCAATAGCTAGTTCTGAATGAATAAATACCTGCTAGGGAATCGCACTCTGCTTCTTTGGAGCAACTGCCCGCTTTGGGGGACAGTGGGTGAGAAGGGCGTGTGCACCATCTGTGTGTCCTGACTCGAGGATGGCGAAGGCAGGCTGACCGGCCAGGGTTTTCCAGATCATATAGCACAAGGATGCTGTGACAGCAGCATCAGCATCACCATGGAGCTCATTCGCAATGCAGCATCTCAGGGCCCGCCCTGGACCCAAATCTGCATTTTAACAAGACTCCCCGGTGATGGTGATTCGTGTGTAAGTGAGCCTGGAAAGCACTAGTCAGCAGTGAGCCAGACCAAAGGATGGGGCCTGCAGAATCACTTGCTCATTCACTCACTCAAGGGGACATTAACAACCAATTCAATGAAGGGGGCTGGAACAGGAGAGGAGGAGGGGAGACTCCGAGGGGTCTCTGGGGTCCTAAATCTGGTGGATATTTCACAAGCAAGTCCCTGTGTGGAAAACAAGCTCCCTGAGGTG